TGTTAAATTTAATGGTGATCCTTTAAGGTACTACACACATGGGTGTGGGGTGGATTCCCTTGCAGAGCTTGAGAGATAATATATTATTTCAACCATTTTGTTTTTAATACACCCGTTCTTTTTTTTCCTGCATCAGTTGGTATCAGAGCAAGTTAGATCGAGAGATAGCAAGTAAGATCCATCAATTACGATGCGCTGAAACTTCCTCTTATGATTGAGAATATATTGCCATAACTTATGGATTATATGGGCCAGCATATTCAGGAAACCTTTGACACATCCTTAGAGGGTATCCGATGAGAAATAAGTAAAACCCATCAGAGATTGCAACGGTTGGAGGATGTCATTCATCAAGAAGAAGGCACGCACAACTACATGGATTTAGTACCAAAACTCACTATAGACACGAGTCAAGTTCCCCAACCAACCCAAGTTGCTGATCTGGATCCCACTCATAATGAATAAATTTACAGATAAGATCCATATCCTATGGAGTATCAACATGATCTGCTCGATTTTTTTCAAAATTTTTGAGGAAAGTGAAAAAGGAAAAAAAATTACGATTGAGCCCGAGAGAGTCAAGTATTCTACTTCGAGATAAGAACAAAATATTTGATGAATCCGTTTATTGAACAAATTGAAGAAAAAGTATGGAGACTCATGGTGAGACTTCATCACCAACTTTTGAGAAAGCCCCTATAAAATTTGAGTTCAATAAGCTCAAGGTCTAGCTTCTCCCAACTCAGGGAGAATGATGCAAATAAAATTAGGATTATTTTAATTTTATTATTTTTTGAACTTATCTTTTTAGGAATAAGGAGCGTTGAGTTTTAGGAAAGGTAAATCTTAGTGAGTTAGTTTCTTTAATCTTATCTTGTATTAAAGTGACTTAAAAGGGAAAGTCTTAGGACTAAGGAGATTTAGATAAATTTAGTGAGAGATTTAAGGAGCATTTAAATATAAAAAAGATAAGGGATTTAGGTATGGGGAAGATCAACCATAATAAAGCTTGAGAAATTGGTGTGTTACTTTTAGAGAGAGATGATATTATAGTTGAGAGAGAAAATAGGTAGAGAGATCTCGATGGTACATGAGAGAGATTATATTTTTGCGTTTTTTGTATTGTTTGTTTTTCCTTCTTCAAAATCTATTTAAAGGGAGATGTCGATTCATTTGTACAGAGAATAGAGAATGAGAATTGAGCAAATATAGTATTGTGAGAAGATCATTTTTTGGGTGGATTTCCTTACAGACTTTGAGAGCGAGAGTGAAAAAAAGTCCGATGTGATATTTTGCCAAGGAATATAATTTTTTTATTTGTTTTATCTTTAATGATAATAATCACCCCTTTTTTTATTTTGGCAAAAAAATCACTTATAGATGGTCTTATTACAATCAATAAATATTTCAAAAATAAAACAGCACAACAGTAAAATAAAACTCAACCACTTGATGTCATTTATACAACCTAATACTATGCTTGAGAATATAAAATAAAAGAGTAAGTAAGTAAAAGAGAAGATGTCAGAGATTACCTCAACCTGGTTTATTACATCCCACATCGAGTCACCACATCCAATGGCATCGGATCAGCGGTCTAGCTTCAATCTCGAACCAGGAAAGCTAATTTCGGCCAAACTAGGTAACCACCCTTAAATCTCTACAAAACCCTAACTCCAAAATAATTAGGCTCAAACCGTAATTTTTCAACCCTTAGTATCTTTAGGTCAAGAGAGAGAAAGAAAGACACTTAGGGTTGGGGCGTGCCCCCTATGGGTCTTAAGAGAGAGAGGGTTAGAGAGAGAAAGCTTGAGATGAGAGAGAGAGGCATGGCCCCTAGAGGGGAGAGAGAGAGGTTATGGGAGAGAGAGAGGCGTGTAGAGATGGGAGGAGAGTACCTTATTTATAGTGAAATTTAGGTCTACGGTTTTTTTAGGGTTTCCCATAGTTTGCCTCTTTCTTGAGATTGAATATGGACCGTTGATCAATGTAACTTGTGGGGTAAGAGATCTGAGCCTTCCATTCCATAGATGAGCCATCAACATTATGGAAGGTGCATGAACCATTATCCCCATTTCCTTAAATCAATTTTCCCATCAATATATTTAAATAAGTTAAATCTATTAAAATATCATGCATTCTATAAAATTGCATGATCCATCTCATATTTTCCATAAGAATATTTCAATAATATCAAGTCAAGATATTCCTTCAATAATCAAGATAAGATATGGTCAATATTTCCCAAATAATATTTGACCATATGCTTATAACATGGACTTTCCAAAAATTACAAAACTTGTTATCAAAGTAATAACAAAGGGAGCAATGGGTGGGGCATGTCACCCATGTGTGACCTCATGACGAAGCACCCGTAGAATCGTCGGTTTTGAGCAGTGAACCGCCCGCATGACGAAGCACCCGCGTAGAATCGTCGGTTCTGAGCAGTGAACCGCCCTCATGACGAAGCACTCACGTGCATCGCAGTGTGCAAAAATCTTATATGCATCATACGTGGTTCCCATCCAGCATATTGTTTAGAAGAGTTTATGGTTCAATTGTTTATATACCCAGAGTTTGTCCCACCTCTTTTCGATGTTGGACAATTATCAATGCCCAACGTTGAGATGTTAAATTAATATATTGATTTATTATAGCGTAATATGTTAAATGTGGTGCAGCGGGGAGTTAGTTATCACGTTGGATTTCTATACGGGAGGTCTCTTTAGGTTTGAACCTTCATGGTGTTGACTTTTTCCTTTTGTCAAATGGCATAAAAAATAGTTTTTTTTTTGTCAAATAATGTTACAAAAAAAATGTGTTTTACTTTTGTGTTTTATTTTTGTCTTAAATAATATCATGAAAAATAATATCAAGGAAGAAAATAATGTCATAAGAAAAAGAAAAAAAAAGCGTTTTATTTTATCTTCCAAAAAAAAGAAAAAGAAAATAATAATATCATCACAAAAATAAAAAGGAAAAATTGAAATAAAAGATAATACAACAAGCATTTCTTTTCAAAAAACAATTTATCTTCTAAAAAAATAAAAGGAAGAAAATAATGTCATCAAAAAAATAAAAGATAATACAATAATTAAATATTTTAGTGGTCATTTTTTCATCGATTTAATCCATTTTTTATTCCTTGAATACTAATTATTGTAAATGTACTGGCAAGTTGTGTAAGGCACCTATTTGGTTAATTGCTTTTCTATGTTTTGAAGGAAGAACCTAATTGGATAAGTTGCTTAATATTATTGAATTGTGTGCAGGTGAGCATATTTTTGAGTTGGTTCAGTTCATTACAAAATGGATTCTTCTAGGCAGACACTCATTGTGTTCTTCAACATTACATATAACATGCTCCTTTTGTGTATTCTTTTGGACTTCTTTTTCTTATCTTATTTTTTGATGACATATATGAAGTTCTTAAAGCATTTCAAATATGCTCCTTTTGTGTATTCTTTTGGACTTCTTTTTCTTATCTTATTTTTTGATGACATATATGAAGTTCTTAAAGCATTTCAAATATGCTCCTTTTGTGTATTCTTTTGGACTTCTTTTTCTTATCGTATTTTTTGATGACATATATGAAGTTCTTAAAGCATTTCATTGGGTTTGTTGTGTTGTGATTGAGAGGTTTATAGTCCATTTTTGCTAGTCATCATTCTATTGAGTTAAACTCCTTTTAACTGTCCTTTCCATTTTCAAATCATTGTGCAGTTTGGCTTGATGTACATCAAATAGGAAGTTTTGTTCACACATAGTCTTGGACTTAATTTTTGGGGATATCAATCAAGGATGTATTTTCGTGAAGGACCATATTCCTGCACAGGAAGCCTTTAATATGTGTTTACTTAGTGGCTGAAATATGCTACAACATCGTTTACTTTGAAGATTTTTCCAACACAGTGGAACCTCTGTTGATTGAATATGAGTTTTTTCTTTTTTGTTTTCTAAGAAGTTAGAATTCCAAAGGTGAAGAATGTATGATTTTATTTGTCTTGTTATTTTGTCCCTCTCATGATTGGGTTATTTTTCATTCAAGAAATTCAAAATGTTTTGGAGAGCAGAAAATACCCCTGGTTTATACACCAGGTTCTTTTCTGTGGGGTTAATATTGTTATTTTTTTATGCTATATAGTTTGCAATAAATTCATTCAAGAAATTAAGGAGTGTAAAGTTTGCAATAAGAATGGGCATGACAGACGTGAATTGTCCAATGGGGATGCGTGGGATGTAAGTACTTGTTTTTTTAATGTTTTGGACGTAATAAGTATAACTGTCTTTATTTAGTTTTTAGTTTTCATTTATTTTCTGCTTTATATATTTGGACTGACCGACTGACATTATATCGTTCTCTTACAGAGCCACTGAGGACCTCGAATCAAGTTGACAAATTGCGAAACTGCATTTGCATGGAAGATATGGCAACTTGCAAAGCTTCATTTGCACATATGCATAAAAGATTCTTTGTATTGACTAATTTTTGAAATTTTGGATATATGTAAATACCCCTTTTTGTAATTGACTTTCGAGGTTATGTGAATATTGAATAGTCATAATTTGGGGCCATGTAAATGACCTATTTATGGAGCATGTAAAGGACCTATTTATAAAGACATGTAGAGCACTTAATTGTGGGGGGCATGTAAAAGACCTATTTTCGGGTCATGTAAAGGACCTATTTTTTTTATTATGTAAAAAGCCGTTTTATGGATAGTAGAATTCATTTATAATAAAATGTGGATTTACTTGGATAATAAAGCACTTTTTTGTAAATATTTTATTTTTTCATGTATGATATTTATGTCTGCAATGTGGGTTTACATGGATAGTGAAATGCATTTATATCCAGATAATTCCCACTTATCTCTCTTTCTCTTTCGTCTCAATCAAATAAATGAGCTTATGTTGTTTTATTGTAGCTGATAAACATATCTCTCTTTCTCTCTATCTCTCATTGTTTATGCATGTGTCAAAAAAAAAGAGAAACTTAATAATACCAGAAACCAGATAATTTTATTTACCATAAATTAAACAACTACCAATTACAATCATTTACAAACTATTGGAAAGATACAAGAAGATTAAACACCTCATGAAATAGAAAAAACTTGATACAAATAAAGATTCAAAAAAAGTAACCCAATTGAGCTGACTCAACCACCAAGTAATTTATTTTTTTTAGCTTCTTCAAGTTTCACTCTTCCATTTGAATGATGCAGCAAAGGTATGTCTATGCCTACCTGCTCAGAGATACACATCCGACCCGGGGCTTCACTAAAACGAATCATACTCCCTATTTGCCTAGGAGTAACAGTTATCACCTGTTAACAAGAATCCTTATCTCAGACTATCCAAACCCAACTATGTATTAATAGATAAACAAATAAGCATGGAATATTAGAAAGAGAAAACAATACCTATTTACTGCTTCCTGAGAAGTTACCCCTTCTCATCTCAACATATCCCATTATCAAATCATCAATAGCTTCATCAGTAATCTGGGGATGTATGTGCCTTCTAGAATAGCTAACATAAGCTATCAAAGTCGGCAAGTCTAGACCATCTTGCAATTGGGTCTGGATATTTGTAGACTAATATCAGTCATGCCTATTTATCTGCACAATTTAGTTGCCTTTTCTCTCCTTATATTTACTTGAGAACTCTTGAAGTGTTTGAATTCAACAAGAAAAAAAGGTTGAAATAAATAAACATGACAAAAATATGGGATCAGCAACACCGAGCATTATTGAAAAAAATAAGAAGAGAAAATGAAATAATAAGACTGTTGCAAGTCACAACAATTAGAGAACCATGGTCAGCTAAGCTAGAGGTTGACCTCATGCAACAAGCTTCTTGCGCTATTAGATATCTTATCAATCTCATCAATCTCATCAATACAACAAATGACTTTATTGCTCAAACATAAGCTCCACTTTCCAGCACCTGCACATTATCAACGAAATGCAAATGCTTGCAGATTATTCAATTGCTCAAAGAGTCAGAGACTCCAGAATTTTCTCATATACCAGTACTAAAGAGAAAATAAGAGCCAGATGAGAACAAGGCATGCAATACATAAGATGAAAACCTCAGAAGGGCCCATCACTTTTATGCAATTTTTATTTGTGATCAAAACACTCAACTGGATTAGTCATGCCCATTTATCTGCACAATTTAGTTGCCTTTTCTCTCCTCATATTTACTTGAGAACTCTTTTAAGTGTTTGAATTCAAAGCAAAAATACGCTGAAATAAATAAACAAGACAAAAATATGGGATCAGCGACAGCGAGCATCATTGAAAAAAATTAGAAGAGAAAATGAAATAATAAAACTGTTGCAAGTCAAAACAATTAGAGAACCTTGGTCAGCTAAGCTAGAGGTTGACCTCATGCATCATGCTTCTTGCGCTATTAGATATCTTATCAAACTCATCAATACGACAAATGCCTTTATTGCTCAACCATAAGCTCCACTTTCCAGCACCTGCACATTATCAAAGAAATGCAAATGCTTGCAGATTATTCAATTGCTCAAAGACTCAAAGAGTCCAGAATTTTCTCATATAACAGTACTAAAGAGAAAATAAAAACCAGATGAAAACAAGGCATGCAATACATAAGATGAAAACCTCAGAAGGGCCCTGCACTTTTCTGTAATTTTTATATGTGATCAAAACACTCAACTGGAATAGTCATGCCTATTTATCTGCACAATGTAGTTGCCTTTTCTCTCCTCATATTTACTTGAGAACTCTTTTAAGTGTTTGAATTCAAAACAAAAATACATTGAAATACATAAACAACAAAAATATGGGATCAGAGACAGTGAACATCATTGAAAAAAATTAGAAGAGAAAATGAAATAATAAAATTGTTGCAAGTCACAACAATTAGAGAACCTTGGTCACCTAAGCCAGAGGATGACCTCATGCAACATGCTTCTTGCGCTATTAGATATCTTAACCAACTCGTCAATACAGCAAATGCCTTTATTGCTTAAACATAAGCTCCACTTTCCAGCACTTGCACATTATGAAAGAAATGCAAATACTTGCAAATTATTCAATTGCTCAAAGACTCAGAGAGTCCAGAATTTTCTCATATACCAGTAAAGAGAAAATAAGAACCATATGAGAACACGGTGCAATACATAAGATGAAAACCTAAGAAGGGCCCTGCACTTTTCTGCAATTTTTATATGTGATTAAAACACTCAACTGGATCATGGCATCTTCTGTTTGCCACTAGGAATCCAATTCTTTGTTCATATATCATGTTTTATGAGGACTGCTAAGTGCTCTCATCTAAAATCTAGCCAAAGTCATGTCCTTTTAAAATTTATACCAAGGATGCCAATTTATAACCCCAACAAAACCAACAAAAAACTAAAAATCTTAAGGCCTCAGCTACCGGTCTAGGTTTCCATTCCCATTGACGCATTAGAAAAACCCTAATTATTTCTAAAAATGGGCAGGCGCCTGTATTCCCCACTGATCTAACAAAAAAAAAAAACTAAAATAACATTAACATCCAAACGCAACTAAATCAAGCAGCTTTTTTTATTGGTAACTAAAATTGACAGCTCAGAGAGATATAGGAAATTAAATTGAAGAAATGGGATAATGACTTCTGGTAAATAGAAAGCAGGAGGAGATTAATCTTAAAGAGTTAGGAAATTCCAATAAAGTGGAGGGGTATGGTGTCTGACGAGTTTGAGCAAAACTATCCTAAAAGTATCACCTATATTTATCTTTTAGAATATGATTGCCATCAAAAAAAGATAAGTGACCGTAAGGTTCAAGCACATATGAATTAAAAAACATACTGTTTCTCTAGTTTCTGGTTCCTTGGAGACATATGCAGTCAGAACCACAGCTGAGCTCCCCCTCCCACTACTGTAAATTCCTCATGGATGTAATTTGTGTATGTATTGGAAAAGTTGAGATTTACTAGTATCAGGATCACCAACAAGCAAGATGTTGATTTCACCATGAAAATTAGCCCCAGATGACAGTTTTAGCGTATTCCCACCAAATAGCTGTGACATCAAATGTAAGGAATGTACGCTATAAACATAATCATCCGAATTATGAGATAAAAAAAACCATTGTAAAATGAAAAGCTACGACAAGAAGGTAAAGCCTGACAAAGAGACCTTTCTTTACACCTTCAAACTCAAAAGAGATAATTATATGGAAATGAACCAAGTTACGACCCACTTCTATGTATTAAATTTGATTAACATGATCGACTAGAAATAAAAGTAACCTCCAAAAAATTCTGGTCTGAGAAACATTACAAGTCAGTTATGGGCACGTCTTTCTGTCTATATGCTATCTCAATCACCTATAAAAATAAAACTAAAATAAATTACAGAATCATGTTGGTTGGAGGATGTGTATAGACCTGTCTATTTATACACATGTCTACCACATCCAAAAGTGCAAGATTGCGAAGACTCTTAGCAAAGAGTCTGAAAATGAACATTTCCATGCCCCCTAAAATAAAAAACAGTAATAATCTAAAAGAAAAAACATTGAATTCTATTTGGAACAGGAACATAATCGTGCTAATGATAGTAATCAACATCAACTCAGAAAATTTAGCTAATTAACAACTCCTTTATGAATTTTATACATAAAAAAAATACATAAGTTCAAATACGAATACTCCAAAAAAAAAAAAAAGAGAACCATTGTTCGTATTCTCAAAAATGAGAAAAAATGCAATAAGGTACAAAACCAAAAGGCTCACCAAATTACTGTTCGTATTCTCAAAATCCAAAACCTTGAATAGATGGTTCTCATTCAAACGAACGCACAATGCCCTAAAAATTTTTCTCTCTCCCATATGTACCTTTTTAAGCATTTTCTATGGTGATTTATTCAGTACATTTTTTTAACCAAATAATTCTATTAAATTTTAATTGAAAGACATGCATTATTTTTTCTATTAGGGGATTCAGCTGTATTCATTGCAACTTCTTTGTTATAGATCCAAATAATAAAAATAGTGTAATGAAACCAATTTATAACTATCTAATTCAGTTTTCTTTCATAATCAATGATAAAATAAAGTAATAAAATCCAATTTAACCATTGTTTTCTATGTTTTTGTGATTTAATTCAGAAGAAAATTGGGTAAATGGCTTACAAAGCACACATACCTTGGTTGAGTAAGCACAGGAGAGGGAAAAGGTAGGATCCGTTTAACTGCTGAAATGAAACATTAAAAAGTTGGATTTTGGGAAAAAAAGAAGTAGGGTGTTAGGACAAAAACGTAGGGTTTTGGGTAGGCTTTTGGAAAAAAAATTGGGATTTTTTACAAGTGCAATAGAGAGATTTCACCCAGGGTTAGATTGTGGCTTGGGTTCGAGCAAAAAAAATCAAGATAATCACTCACCCGATTGATTATCTTGCGTAGGTTTTTGGGAAAAAAATTGGGTTTTTTAAAAGAGTAATAGAGGATTTCACCCACTGCAAAAAAAATTTTATGAATTAGGGTTCAAACAAATCAAGATAATCACTCACCCGATTGATGCCCTAAACAGAGGAGGAGTGTGTGGCGTCTGTGGCAGAACCAGAGCTTCTCAGAGAGAGGAGAGAATGACGGAGATAACAGCGATCGGGCTTCGCAGAGAGGGGAGGGGACGAACGAGAAAGAATAGCTCTTCACATAACAGGGGAGAGAAGAGGACAAGCCAAGAGGGGAGCCTCGTAGAGAGAGGGAAGCCTGACAGAGAGAGGGAGGTCGCAGAGGAAATCACAGAGAGAGGGAGGTCGCAAAGGAAATAGAAAAGAAAGGTAAACATTTTTCTTTAGAGGTTTGAAGCTTTTTTTAGCCCATTTGGAGCGTTTCGCCCGCGGAGCGTTTTCAGCTAATCACAACCCCTTGATTTGAATTTGTTTGACAACCGATAAGGTGGGGGCGAAAAACACTGTACATTATCGCTTAGAGGCGTTCCAAAATTTTTTTCATATATATATATAAAATGATTTTATAGGATCCATGTTATTTTTGCGAGTAGGAGATCACTTTTAAAATTGATACGAATTTAAAAAAAAGTCAAGTCCCTTACTTATGTAATAGCTTTTAAGAAGATCTTTATCAAATTTAATAAAGATCTTTTTGAGTTATATATACATAAGTGAAAAAAAAGTCTTATGGGATCATTACTCTATATGCATATTATTTTTGGATCGGGTCCACTCTGTAATCTTATAAGATTATTACTTTTTATTTATATATATATATATATATATATATTATTTTTGGGTCGGATCCAATCTAACCAATGAAGTTCAAGTTCAGGTTCAGATCCCATAGTTTTTTCTTTGGGGCAGGTTCGACCCGTTGCCACCCCTAAATTTCAGTAATGCCTATTAGGGCATCAGGACACACAAGTGGTGTATGGTTTTTAACACGAGAAATAAAGGACTCCCGTGAAACACCCGCCACTCACACGCAATCGTTCCCGCCCATATTTACATAAGAGTGTCATGGTGTTATCTTGGACTTCTTCTTTCTCTCTCTTTCTCTAAAAGGCTTTAAAGATGGCGATTTCTGCAACTGCTATACTCCACCGGGATTTGCCATTAGCTTCTCTATCATCCTCTCCGTCTTCTTTCTCATTTCCTTCTTGTTCTGATACTATCAATTCAACTTCACCTTCTTCTCTCCAATTGCCAGTCTCTCATTCCTTTTTGCAACTTCATTCTGGGTTTTCTCAGAGAATATGCCCTAAGTCTCAGGTGATACAGTTGAAAATCAGGGTTACCTTCTTAAACTTTCTTTAAACCCGTAATTGTTATGGGTAAGGCAGCTATGGGTGAGAAGTGAAAGATGGTTGTATTTCTGATTTTGCAGAGACAGGGGTTGGTGAATTGTTCACTAAAAGAGCCTCTGAAAGTTATGATCAGTGGTGCTCCTTCTTCAGGGAAAGGGACCCAGTGCGAATTAATTGTAAAGAAGGTCTGGTTCTCGTTTTCGTTTTTTATATTGTTTTTTTTTTACAGTATTTCAGCTCAGTTTCCCGGATTTCTTAGTTCAACTGTGAATTTCCCTCTTTCTTGAAGCGTTATTCTTTTTTCATTTGAGAATGTCTTGTAAGCAAAATAGGCTATATGCCATTAGATATCGATTTGCTCTGTTTTTTCAGTTGTGGTTTTTGATTTCGAGATTTGAAATTGTCGGATTTAGTTCTTGTTGGAAACCAAATCTTGTTGGATCATCCCTTGTTGCAATATGCCTTCCCTTACAACATATATAACTTTAAAACTGACTTGCATATCATAAATAAATCGATCTCAAACAACCCAAGAACAATATTTGGTACAATAAATTTATAAAAAATAAGATGAAATCAAGAGGACGGTACTAGATTGCATTATAAAGAAGTTAAAGATTAGCATTGGTGGGTACAACTAGGATTGAGGTAAGGTCATTAGATAGAGGTAGAGAAGAGGGGTGTGAAGAGAGTAGAGGAGAGAGAGCTCACTGAGCCAGAGAGAGAGAGAGAAGAGGAGTGTGTAAGAGAGAGAGAGAGAGAGAGAGAGAGAGAGAGAGAGAGAGAGAGAGAGAGAGAGAGAG